TACCTCCCGAACAATTGGACATGTTAGCAGAAACTCTTTTACGAGAATACAGAACGAAGGAATACTGGTCATATATGGAAGGCAGTGTAGAATTAGTACAAAAAATACGTGATGCTGACAAATTTGTTGGTATTATATCAAATTTTGATCCCAGTTTATCGACAGTACTTCGGGAAATGGAAATTGAACATTTATTCGACTTTATTTTGACTTCTTATGAAGCTGGAGCACAAAAGCCAGACGCAAAAATTTTTTCCATACCATTGGAACGTTGTAATATTAAGCCAAATGAAGCTCTGCATATAGGCAATATGTATGAAATAGATTATGTTGGCGCTAAGAACTCCGGATGGTCAAGTCTATTAATAAGTCAAGATAGCAATAAATACGAGAATGTGGAAGTCATGCATGTTTATGCAAGCATTAAAGATGTGATAAATGCGTTAGAAAATAAAGATATCAAATGGTAGCACTTTATTGTGTTACCTTTTTCAGCTTTTGTGCTTATAACGTGATAACAGAGAATTTAAATTAGATAAAATTGTAAATAAATTGTTTTATGTATATAATAAATTATGTAATCCTACACGCTACTTTATTTCTTATTGCAAAGTATCAATAGCAACAAGAAGATGTTTATAGTTTCACAAATTTTTTTATATATACATTACTTGGATTTCCTATTGTAAAGCTATTTTCGATTTGTGTAGTATATGTGACTCCAGAGTACTTGCAGTCACATTCCAGAATACTGTATTCCAGAATATTGTACTCACACAATATCACGGGATGGTTGAAAATTAAGTATATTAAACGAATTACTAAGTTGAGAAATTCTCTCTTCCTGATGATGTATGCGAGTAAGAAAAAAAATCAAGAATCTTAAAAGTATATAACAATGTTCTCTGCAGTTATCTATGTCGTTACAAGTGAAGTAATAAATATGTAGCGCCAATTTTTTTTAGCTTGTTTGTAGTATTAAGTAATTAACCGTTCTGTTGTTTATTGGAATTGTCACCACATGCTTTCTCTCCAATTGCGAACCAACGGCAATATGTTTACGAACAAATTCGACTTGGAGAAACGGTATTATGGCATAATCAAAACCAATAAACAGCAGAACATTAGCATTAAAATTAAAGAGTAAGTTCTTTAAAATTATTAACAAGGAAAATTTCAACGAATATACATATGTACATGTATGTATGTCTTACAAAGACGTATAGAAAACTTCTTCTTTTACCTAATTATATCTTAACCCATATATACGTGATTGTAATTGCTTTCATGTTTTCTGCACTACAGATCACCGCAAATTACAACAACAACAAAATATTCTAGGAATAAGTTCCAAAAATATAATCAAAATATGTTCAGGGTATGAATCGTAATTTTATATATATGTATATATAATTTTAAAATAATAACTTATTCTCTTTTTAATTCGAAATAACCTTAAATAACAAATTATATATATAAAAAAGACAATACATTAACATTATTTACTAATAAATGACACACTGTACATGAGTTCCCTTACCAACTTAAGTTCATAACAACTACGACTCCAACTTCACTTCACCCATGCAAATATACAAAACTGAAGTTAACTAACAAATATAGTTTATTATAAAGTATTAACATTTCAACTTTATTTAAAATTATCTCAATTTAACACATTAAAAGTTACGATTTTACAATATTGATGATATTATCAAATGGTATACAATTAGTAAATAAATGCTTATTACATTATATATTTGATACAACACATAAGTTAGTTTACTACATATTAGCACTTACTTAGGGAGATTTTGTTCTTTTAGAGGATGTAATTTGTACTTTTGTAGTTTTCACATTATCACTGTTAAGTTTTTTTTTTAATTCAGCTGATACTTGTTTTATCACAGCCTCACTAGTAATTTTCAATTCTCTTTCTAGTGATTCGATGTCGACATCGTTGGACTCCAAACGCATTTGTATATCAGAATAAAAATCGCATACGAGCACAGGCTTGTCAGTAGCTGAAACTGTGCGTTTGCTGCAATATTGACCGCGTTGCAGCAAATCGGGATTGCTAATGTTGCTTTCACTATAGCGCACAGCAAGTGGTACCTAAAAATAAAGTTTTTATTGTTAATATTTAATACTGAAAATCCTATAATTTACGTTCAAATAGTTTACCTGTTGCTGTACTAGTTTTTCATGATTCTGTGCTATTTTTTGTTTTAGTTTTTTAAACTTTTTTACCTCATTTTTCATGTAATCAACGTAACTTAAATAAAACTTATTATAAATCAATTCAAATAAAAAATTATGAATTTCATTTACCTATGCATTTTAGAAGTTTTTTTATTTAAATTATCTAGACAATTTATAAAATTCCGCACAGGCAAGGTCTTTGGTATTATGCTAGGATCTACGCGCTCAGCGTCATCAAAACAAATTAAAGCACGCTTAAATTCATGCTGCATTGCCAAAAAAGAACCAAGTACAAAGTGGTTTTCACATACATTAGGCGCTAGTGTAGTAGCTGCTGTTAATAGAACTTCAGCATCTGTGGTACGTCCTGCACGAAACAATATTGTACCAAGGCTTAACAGAGGCATATCTTTATGAGTAAGTGGTGTTAGCGGAATAGCTTTACGAGCACACTCAAAAGCCTTCTGTGCATCTCCCTGCAGACGCCAATAATATGAACTTAATGTATAATATTTCCATGCTTCACCTTTCTTTGACATTCCGCCAATAGCAATACTACGTAAAAGATCTTTTATAGGAACAGTGCTTATTACGCTAAAATCCATTTGTACTTCTGGTTCAATATGCATTGTTTTTAAGGATTTGCCCTTAAAACTTTCCAAATGTTCATAACCAGTAGGTTTCTGGTCATCTATTTTGTCATTCTCACAAATTGGTTCACCTGATTTAATATCAAATTTCTGATTTAACTCAGATAATTCAAATCGATTCATGTAAGTTGTAGTCATTTGAAGATACGATGTACTCTTTTCCAATATATAGAAATTTACGGCGCATTTTGCTTGTTCAACCAAATCCTCCCCATACTTAACGGAAAAACGTATGTGTTCCGTTATTTGATTACGTTGTTTAAGAAGTTGCGCGTATGATGCTTCTACATAGTCGTTGTATTGTACTTGTTGAAGAAATGCTACGAGGTTATCTGGTTCGCGTAAGTGAAACGGAGAGTCGATTTTTGGCGTGATGCGTTCATCCTTAAGGGTCCAGTGGTTAACAACAGCATATGCCGCACTTATAAAATAAATAATTATACCAAAACTTTTATACATGACATGTCACATAAAGAACTTAAAAGAATTAACAAAATATAATAAAAAAAACGAAACCCATGCAATAAACTAAACAACAGACAGTATAATTTATTTACAATTGATATGAGCCAATACAATCCACAAAATAGTGATACCAGATGGCAAAAATACAGTTTCATGGTTCTTAATTGTTGAATCAATTTAGAGTAAACATTTTCGCATTATATAATTAGTAATTAAGTTTTTAAAATATTATTATAATATAATTTATATATACTTTACAACTAGCAAAACTCAACTAGTAATATTAGCACAATTAAAATTAAATATTCCAAAATAATATAATTATCGAAATGAAGCAAGTAATGATTATTTAAGAACAAACAGCCTATTAATTTTTTATATGCCATACTAAGCTAGTATTAAAATGTTAAAAATTTAAGTGAATATACACATTATAATAAGCTCATTTATGCAGCTAATAGAACATTTATAAACTTCACTTAATAATATATCACACAAAACAAATAAAATTATTATTACTATTACACAAAGATTTTATTAAATAATTACTTCCTCAGTGCCTTTGTTTACAGCTCAGCTGATGTTTGTTTACGTTTTATAAAACATATGCAATAATTTATTTTTAAGGGTTGCATTAAACATTTTTCGCCTTAATTGAGCTTATTTATTGATAATGACCTAATTTATATGAAAACACTTTGAATAAAAAATAATCCTCTTTAATGGCTCTAATGAGTAAAACTACCTTTATGAGACAGTGAGAATGTATTATTATATACTCAAATTGCTAAAAAAAAAAAGCATGGTATGTATTTATTTTGCATATAGAGCAGAAATCGCTTTTATTAAGAAAAATTATACCAAAATTTTTGAATGCAACCCTTAAAAATAAATTTCCCACAAAGCAGTTATTTATTATATGTTTTATATGTAAAATGTAAACAAACAGCTAGCTAAGCTGTGAAAAAACGCACGCAGAAAGTACGTATTTAATAATATATATTTTTTATTCATTGAATATGTAACACATTTATAAAATATATATATATAAGTGATTTATTATATCAATTATATACAGTCAAACTCCTATAACTCGAGGTACCATTTTGCAAAGAAAAAGTTCGACTTATGGAGACTTCAAGTAAAAAACTTTTTTGTATTTGTATGTAATTTGCTCGTTAAACCCTATGCCACTCTATTCAGTTTGAGTTATAAAAAATTCGAGTTATAAAAGTTCAAGTTATGGAAGTTTGACTGTATTTAATTTTTTGTGAGATATATTATTACATGTAACTTATTTAAACAAACATCAGCTTTCTTAGAACTTTGTGAGACATAAAAGTTCTCTCTCACGTGCAATAAGAGACTTATGTTAATGGAAACGGCAAATTCTTAAAGTTATATGGCGTTTACATTGGCCGAAAATGGCTCATTTTGGTCAAAAATCGAAAATGAGTAACGAATGGCTCATTCTTGCATATAAAATTTCAAGCTCGAAAATGAGCAATTTTCTCACATTCTGTATGAAAACCGTTCGAATGCATTCCACATATGTTCCAAATGCAAAGGAATCCATTGAACATACCCTAAATGAAAGCTCTTCATGGCATTTTGACAATTTGAAAAAGCTGTTTTTGACATATTTACAAAAAAAGGTAAACAAATGTTTGGTGGTTGCATTTTCTTGAAAACGATGCACTGCTTTTTAGAACTTTTACTTCCCAAAAAGTAATTAATCGAAGTTAAAAATATGTTTTAAGTTTCTAATGTAATACGGCGTTTACATTGGCCGAAAATGGCTCATTTTGAATGACTCATTTGAAAGTGTTTACATTCGTTGTATTTCATTCGTTGTCATGGTAACAATTCAAACTGAAATAAAAACTAAACATTTGTTTATCTTTTTTTGTAAATATGTCAAAACAGCTTTTACAAACTGTCAAAATGCCATGATGAGCTTTCATTTAGGGTATGTTCAATAGATTCCTTTGCATTTGGAACATATGTGGAATGCATTCGAACGTCATTCATACAGAATGTGAGAAAATTGCTCATTTTGTGCTTGAAATTTTATATGCAAGAATGAGCCATTCGATACTCATTCTCGATTTTTGACCAAAATGAGCCATTTTCGGCCAATGTAAACGCCGTATAAGGTTTGAAGGCATATTTAATCTTCATGCAATATTTTTTTGGCACAGGCCAAAATCAAATCAACAAGCAAGTTGAAAAATCAGCTGTTTGAAATGAGAACAAACGAATTACAACGAATGTAAACACTTTCAAATGGCTCATGCAAAATGAGCCATTTTCGGCCAATGTAAACGCCATATTACTTAAGTAACTTATTCTAATGAATGTTGAAAAAAATGATAATAGTAAATGTTGTGTAAAAACAAACGCCATCATACCAAACTAGCAAGCATGTATGTTGTGTAATACTTACTTTAGGTCTAAGTATTCTCATGTATTCTCATGTAAGTATATATATAGTATAGAGTATATAGTATATATGTATTATTAGTATTAGAATTTAATAAAATTCGATAAATATTATATAAAGAGATATATTATATCAAAGAAATTAATATGTGAATAGATTTAAATTTTACTAATATTTGTTTTTTTGACCTGGCAGTACTAATTTTGGAAGAAGGAATATGTTAAAATGCATAATAAATTGGATTGTATGTCGACTGTGTTATAAAGAAATTTATTTCTTTAATTCCTGACAAATCTTGAATATCGTGTTATTTACATTTTTCACTGTGTGAAACTAACAAATCATTACCGTTAAGTTGCATTTAGTAAATGAAATTAACGTACTACAGTCGAACGCTTCACATAAAGGAGATCAACTGCAACAAGAAAAGAGAAATCAGTTTAAGGGAAACTCTGCAGTAAAATAATTAACTTCCACAGCGTTGTCATTATTATTTTAATACAACATAACCAGGACGATAAAGTTTGATATCAAGCACATAGTATATTTACTTTAGCTGAAAGCAATTTAGAAGGAAACGAATTTTAAAAATTTGGTAAAAATATTTCACATCGGAGCAACTAATTAAAAATGGCTGCAGTCAATGACTGTTTTACAATTGGATCCACAGTGTTGTGCACTACTTGTTTTAACGAGGAAGTAGAGGGTGAAGTGCTTGCTTTCGACCATAACACAAAAATGCTTATTTTAAGTATCCTTTTCAAAAACAAACAACAATTTTATAAACATTAATTTGTTGATAAATAAGAGCACGTTTTAGTTAACGTAATCTAAAACATATTGCATCATTCAATATTTTCAAAAAAAAATATTATGATAGCAATTAATTATATATTATTACATACATCTACGTATTGGATGCTTAATTTATAAAAAAGTTAATTATCAATAGCTAGAGTACTATGTAATAATATATGTTATTATTAGTTTAATATTTTACTATATATCATTACGGTATATATTAGTACTGATGCGCTTATATTTTGGTTCAAATTTTACTACATATTTTATATTATTATATTTGAAAAGTTTTCCAAACTCATTTAGCTTAAAATAAACAGAATGCCGTTCAAAGAACTCTGAATCATTAAATGATGTTTATGTGCTGAATCTGTCCCTATGCAGCAATGTTCAAGTGGTAAAAGAATGTAATGGTAACTTTGTTGACGATCCTCAAAAACTAAATCTCGAACAGGTAAATATTTTATTCAAACTAGTTAAAACTGTTATATAACTGATAATTATATACTGATTACTTTAACAGCTTAAAATTAGACTACGCAAAACAGTACAGCATAGACAAACTTATTTAAAATCAAAAAATGCAGATGTCAGTCCCGAAGTTCAGGAACTATACCGAGTAATCGCAAAACAGTTCAGAGTAAAGAAACTATAGTATATATTTTATATAAAACTTATTTAACATTTTGCTATCATTTTTAGGCCAATGAAGTTTCATGGCAAGGACAGAATATACAAATATTTAACGAGGTTACTATCTTGCCACCATATAGAGTAGACAACGTTGTGTCATCTTCTAATAATCAAAGTTTATGCAAATACATAAAGAAAATGGTAAATTTATTTATATATATATATATATTATTCTAATTTTACACGTTTTAATTTCTAGATCGAACAATTTATTAACACAAGAGCTTCGCAGGACGCCTCATCGTCATCATCGAGTAATGCGAACACAAGTTCTCCTGTTTCGGCTAATTAATAAATATCTTTCGAAGTTGAAATATGTGTTGTTTTCATTTTGGAGAAGTAATGGAAGTTAGTTGAATTATAAACAATAAATTGTTATTTAGCTTCGTAAAAATTCGACAGACAAATCAGTAAAATAATAAAAATCAATGGAGTGCTTCTGATCGTTACTACATAAATGAAGGTATCGAGCTCTCAAGAAACTATGTCTTAAAATTAATAACTAAAGTTGCACAAGTTTTTAATGCAATTGAAAATAGAAGCAATACTTCTAGAAATGCGTAATTATTTCTTTAATAGAAGATAATAGTAATAGTTTCTTGTAGAAACAAAATAGTTTTGGAAAATAAGGATGCAGTATACAATATACAATTTCATCTCTTAACATAATGTGAAGCAATTAAAGTGTGACACCAAAAAGTTTTTACTACTTATGTAAATTGTGTTATTTGAATATGCCGAGCAAAAAGAAAAATTTCAAAAAAAACGTGACTAACTTAATTTAATATTTGGTAATTAAATATTCCCTTACACTTTACTATTGTACTATTAAGATAGCCAAGATTAAAGTGGCAATCATCGTGGCAGTGCTGACAGGTCATTGGGTAGTGTAGTTGAGTATCGTTATCAACTAAATATGCAAGAGCTGTAAAGACGAAAAGGAAGCAAACCGTTGCTGTGCAGATTTCCAGGCTTCTCAAGACTTAAACTATTCACTGTTGGAGTTAACAAACTTAAAAACCTAACGAATATCCTAAATATGGATATTCAAAAAATAATCTGTTTATCAAAGTAAGTTTTGAAATTGAAGTTTTTATAGACGGGTTTGTGGTATCGCGCCTATCTACTTCTTGGACAGAAATGAAAATTCTGAAGAATTTGAAAGAAGAGAGAGGTTAACATTAAAGCCAACCAATCATTGTATTACTTGACTTTCCGCGCATTAGTTATTAATTTTGTGTTATATACAACGAATGAATTTATAATGGAGTGTGCTTGCACCTAAAAACAAATATTGGAGGTGTGTGTAAGCAGAAAAGAATTGAAATTAACAAAAGCGAGCAAATGGAAAATAAAGTGACTTGTATAATAACTAGAAATTGAAGATCTATTACCTCTACTGGCACTACAAACTATTGAATTCACTAGACAATAAACTTACAGGAGTGAAGACATAATTTCCATCGTTATTCATTTGCCTCTTGATTAATATATTGCGTATCAGTCTATAATCCTTTTTTTAATGAAACTACTTAACCACTATTTATTTCACATCAATAAAAGTTTTAAGTTTAAAGTTCTAATGATCAATTATATAGGTAAGTTTAAAGACAACTAACCGATCTACTTTCGCTAAAGAACGTGTCAAATATAGTTATCAAGCAATATACCGGTAGTTCAATTAAAAATACTTAACAATATTATTACTCCAGGTAATTAAGTGAATTTGCATAAAAGTTAAAAACCACTGGTATACATAAATTTTTTTGGATTTTATTTGTCACCACAAATTCATTGAACAACTTGAACTAAATATAAACCCCGATATTTTGTTCATGAAAGGGATGTGATCTGAAGCTAAACAATATACAATACATTTTACTATAGCAATGAACTTGACTTTAAGAACGGCCGGACCTATAACCCATAGCCGAAGTCGAATTTGATTACCAAATGCTGTTTACCACACCCAAAAGGGAATACACAAGCAGATCCTTTCGAGTTACAACAACAAATTTGAAGCAATAAGTTCCATTTCTTAGAGAAAATTGTTTGATGTTTAATAACTGTAAGTATAAACATAGTATTGAAGAATAATTATGAAAAATTTATAATGTTCAATAAGTAATATTAATAAAATTCGGTACTCTAAAATCCAAAAAATGTTGGACGTTGAGTGAGTAATTCAGGATTTATAGCTATGAATGGATTAATTTTTCAAATAGACAAATGTAATATATATATTTGTAATATATTTTTATTAATACAATGTACGATTTTACCATATATATATTTATTTTGCTCATATTATGTTATATACATTAAAATATATCAATTTATTAATTTTTATTTTGAAGTATTCTTTATAATTTTTATATATTCTTAATATATTTATAAACATGGTAAATAATTTTTATATTTATTACCTAAAATGTTCTCGTTGTTACATACGCTGTGTACGTAATGCTTTACGTTTCATACGTTTTTTTCGCAATTGGAAAGCCCATTATTATAACAACCCTGTTGTGAAGATGAAAACAATGTTGTGTGGAAGACATAAAAACATTATAGAAACGTTTGATTTGTAAACTGATGTGGAAATAGTTTTTAAATTCAATTTATTACAAATCTCTTTTATATATATTAAAACTAGTACCAATGGAAGAGGTGCAGAGGCATAGTGTTCATACACTTATATTTCGTTCTTTAAAAAGAACACATGACATGTTTGTGTCAAACCAAGGCGCACTGCCGGAGATTGATGAAAAATTGTAAATAAACTTAAAATGTATGTTTTTTGTTATAAAAATATTAAAAATCTATTTTTAGAGAAAAAGTACGTAAGTCTATAAAAGCAAAGGATTGTTATCAACTTGTATTCGATAGAGTTCTGAAAGCAAATGAAGCTAAGCACAATTCATCAGCTTCAAGCGTAAGTAATGCCATAGAAGCACCAGTTACGCCTCTCGCTATAACCGATGGCAACAGTAAGACTGCAAACGACAAAAATAACTTAGCATTAGTTCCCTCTGGTGATAAAAAGCCTACAATGGAAACAACAGTGAATAACTCATTAGTATCTGCACCTGGTATGCGTACTGGTAGTGGAACTAGCAATACACAGATTATACCCAAGAAAGCACCAACAATACCAAAGCCTGCCTGGCATCCACCATGGAAACTTGCACGTGTTATTTCTGGTAAGCAATACTATAATTATGATTTAGTCTTATTTCATGAAGAGAGGCTACTGAGCAACAACAAAGTACATAGTAAAAGAATTGTATAAATCTACATACATAATGATTAACAATTTTTTTGTTATTGTTCAGTCTCCTTTTGTTATAAAATTCATTTTATTTGTTGTTACTATATAAAAAAAA